AAGGCAGAAGATACAGAAAGTAAGAAAAGACCTCAAATCTGTGCATGAATGCAAAGATAAAAACATTAAAATACTTATAAGTTTTTATAAAAAATGTGTTAAGGTGTTGCCACGTTTTATAGTCGTTAGCACAATTTTTATATGTTGGATTTAAGTATAAAAAAATATTTCACGTATCTTCCATAAGCTGCTCGAAAATGGTTAAGGATACGATTGAGAAGAAGAGAAATATTTTTGATATAATACCTTTTTCATATACATATAGTGTTGAGAGGCTATGCTAAAATTTGTTGAAAAATTTTTAGTTTAATGACTTTAGATATGTTTGTTGATATCCGAGACTGTATCATCTACTATTCCTTATCTAATTGTTAAAATAAACGAATATTGCCATATGCGTCTATCGACCTATTAATTCCACAGTTAGTCTTGTTGTATATCTGCCTTTTCATATTCAAACTTTCCTCTTGTTTCTTAGTTTCTGAAATAAACCAGTTAAATTGTACACAATGACTATTTGAGAATCAGATTAAATCAGGTAAACTCCATGTAAATCAACTACCAAAAATTAGCTTAAATTTTAAACATATGCGTATTGGATTTTATACTGAAAAATAAATTTTAAAATATAGCTAAAGCCCATTCTATGAGCACAATCATATGACGACTGGCTATTCCAGTTTCAGGGTTTTCTGATCATATCAGGGGCATGGTATGTTATGCAGACAGTCAAATTACAATTGTCAATTACTTTTAAGCTGTATCTAAACTGAGGAACTTGAACTTTCTTACACATACAAAAATTGTACGTATATACAAAAATCCCTCATATACATAATACCCATATATATTTCTAGTGACCTGTACAATTTCCACTATCGTGAGAAGGTCACACATACATCTGAATTAGCGATTTGTCGTACTTTTGCTACATTTCTCACAAGAAATCTTGAGATGGAAGAATACAGACTAAATCCATCCCGTCGAATTCAATAAATTCAATAATTCAATAGGTTTATCGTCTTTATCGATGAATACTCTGATAAACTTTCATAGAAATTGTTATTATTATTATGACATGTTCTATAAATTCAAGAACTTAGTCTATTCACATATGCTTTTCAGATATCTTTATTGCGTAGGGTCGTCATTAAATTTCTATTCCTATCGGAAGCTGCTCTTATGAATACTCGAATCATTTGAAAGTCAAATACAGTGGCTGACTAGACTAAAGGATCCTATTTCGGTGGTAGATTTGCTACCTTACATAAATGTTATTAGATCACGGACTTCCGAACATACCACAGTCTTCATGTGGCAATTGGTATTTCCGCTAAGAACCAGATGTTGTGGAATAGTTATACCGCTAAACACTCGGTGGCCATTGCCTCATATGTTTAGAACAGGCATCACCACGAAATGGTTGAGGATGACATTTGTGTTGAAAGGCTTTTTGTGACGCATGCATATACCTTGATCCCCAAGGTATATACAAGGTTTCAAAGAAATACCTGCCTAAAAACCTGTTTCTTCTAGATGTCTAACCTGGATGGGCATTCACATAGAAAGTGTTTAGTGATTTCTTTTTTTGTCCATGTTTATTATCTGTGTATGTTTTGTGACTTAGAGTTCAATTGCATTTCATTTATAGTGTCTGATTATATACGGTAGTGCAAATTACTTATTACTTTTAAGACAGGTGGCAAGCTTGCATCTCTAGTTAATTGTATCTTATGACAAAGTGCAAGGTATAGTAAATACCAACATTTTTAAATGAAAAAGCATAACACTTAACTTGAACTCCAAACAGCAAAAGAAAAAATATTTATATTCCCCAACAACAGTTCAGGTTATATAAACGTAACTCTTCTCTTCCTTCTCAGATTGCCATTGGATTTTTATGGCATTTTTTCGTTATTCTCGTATTTTATAACTTTACTGCCTTTTTAAAAACATTTTCGTCTTTGCTTCTCCTAAATGAGATGACGATGCTTTTTTAATTACAAAAATTGGATTTTTATGTCTGTCCGGACACTTGACATGGTTTCGACTTTTTTGATTATTTTTTTTTTTTGTTTTTGCTTTTTGTAAGTTAACTTAAAGTTGCTTTTGGTTCTTAGCTTAAATTAAAAAAAGAAGAAGAAAATGAAGGTGTTTCCTTACAAAGATAGTTTGCACTGCTCTAGAGAAGGGAATTAATGGAGTTGCTGTGTATGTCGCCGCTGTTTTAATGTGCACTTTTCATTTTCCACTTTAATGAGTACTGCGTTTTAATGGAGCAAAATTTAATGATTGGGAAATGATCATAATGAAATGTGGGGGAACATCGTAAAGGCAGACAGAAATGCTGTAAAAAGTATGAAGACGTAAAAGTTTGTAATAAAGTTGCACTATAAAAGAGTTATAATTTCTTTAATAGCAGCTTTTACAGGCTTTTCTTGCTTTTTTTTCTGGAATTTTTTTTTTTCGTAACTGCATTGTAAGTACAAAACGACATTTGCCATACATAACTCCAACCATTTGTAGCTGAGTTGCATGAAACATATTTTCACCACATTAAGAAGTAAATGATATTTAATTAAATTAAACATTTTCGTCTGCATCTGCAGTCCGCATTTGTGTTTCACACATACAACAGTCGTGGAAATTGGCGTACCGGTCAACGTCACAGCGGCAATAGCAACACGTAGTAGCACATTCGTATCAGTGGTCAAAGTATCTGCAGCATGGCTTACTGCAGGTGTGAAAAAAGAGTGCATAACTCATAGGAAATGCTTTGATTGCATACTTCTCGCAGTTCTTCTGTTCGTCGTACTAACGTCCGTTCAGCAACCGTTTACGCATCCGTTTGCGGTTACTACTATATACGAGAGCACTACTTACAAATTGTTGCAGTTTGGCAGTAGCTGACCACGTTGTGAATGAAGCAATAAAAAAAATGCAAAAAGCAAATATATATCATAAAGACGATAAGCAACGCTTCAAATGATATTGGCAACAAGACCACATGCCGTGCGCAACTCTTGGCACTGTTGCTTTTTTTAACAGCTAAGGAGGGAAATTCATATCAATTTCAACTGCAACGTACGTATTCACACTAGTTTCACTCTGCAAACTGTGAGTCTTTAGACTCCATTAATAAACTTTATTGTGTATCGCATTATTGCGTATTTCTGCAAATTGTAGCTTGAGATACTGCTTGGTGTACATTGACAACGCCCTATCTGTAATTGATACTTGAATGGCGGTTCGAGTACGAGCGAGGAACGCTGGAAGTGTTGCATTTCATTAAATGCCATCACAATATTTGCTCGAATGCTTATTGATTAAAACTTTTGTGGGTTTGTATCTGAAGAGTGCGATATTCTGACTTAAGTGCGGTTTCATGAAATCATATGAATTATAATATTATGAATTATACAAAAACAAATAAATATACTAACAATTAGGATAGATGATTGCAGATACTAAGGAATGAAACGAAAATGTTGCGGTTAATTGCAGCGCTGCGGGCTTGCAACAAACTGATGAAATGTGTTCGCCTCAAACATTCAATAAATTATATATATAAAACATATTCAATTCAAATAAAAATTTATTTAATATATTAAAAATATATCATTCAGATATCAGATAGGTACCATAGGTAATACTCGAAATAGCTGTATGGTTAGTCAGAAATACAATTAATTAAAATACTAATTAAAAAATTAATTAAAATATATAAAAAGCATTTTTGTTGTAGTTCACTACTTTTCAAAACCTCTCTAAAAAATACATTATTAAATAGGCAAGGTAAGGTTATAACGGCGATCGCAAAGGATCCACTTAGGCCCATTGTGTTACCGTATAATTAAAAACTCAAGGGTTAGAACCACTTAGAGTCTTTAGCAAAGCTTAACATATAACACTATTTAGAGGGAGGTTCGACATTTCACCAAGATTCTCAAAAAAGAAAAGCCCCTACAGTGATAAGGCGGCACCACCCATGTGCTTATTATTACATTTATATTTAATAAAATAAAATTGAAAATAAAGAAAAATATTTATTCTGTCTAGTATGAAATCTTTAAAGCAGCTCATGCGGTTAAGCACAGAGTATTAGCAGATGAAAGTAGAAGCTGTAGAAGCTGGTGTTTAAGTCCCTTTGTTGAAAGATAATAGTTAACAGAAGCATGGAAAACTTGTGTGTTTAAGCTGAATTCAGATCTATTTAAATTGAAGAACTTGTAACTTTTGTTATTGGCTAACAAAGCTTGAAAGTGCTAAATATAAATTTAAATATACTCTAGTTGATCAAACACTTTAATGCATTAGTCTTCATGATTTGATATATTTTTTCTCGATTAGGATTACTCTTACTATTATTGGTTAGTGATGTAAGATTTAATGCACATACAAACATATCAAAATCAAAATCTGTAAGAACATTGTTCTAACTAACCTGACAGAATTGGTATGATTTATAATTAGGGGCATAGCCACGTTTACGAACCTGTCACGTTGGGTCTTCTCTACTTAAATACGGGAGTCGTGCCATCCTAAAGGGACGCTGTGCGTACTTGGTTCCTCAGTTATGGCGTGCGGACAGTGCCTCGCTCTTAATTATATAAGGGTCTTTTATTTTCGGTTATGTGAGCTTTGGTATACAATGCCGCCATTCCAACCTTACCCAGACATCTACATTGTATTGTTACAAAAAAACTGAATATATACCTTATTTACAATAGTGTGAAACACACATGCTCGTAACGATTTTAGTTACTTAAATTAAGTAATTGATCCGATGGCGTCTGCCAGTAATTAACTGCTATTCGTAATATGCAATTTTGTAGATTTATAAAAAATTAAATTCAAAGAAGTATTCACCGTCATTACATATCAAATAAAGACACATT